GCAATTTTTTCTAGGATTTAACTTTATTTTTCAGAATGCCATGGGGCAATAACCAGACAGTAAAAACAAGCATAATAAAACGTTATTCACAATTTAGATACTTAAAAAAAAAGTGGAAGTAAATACGAGATAATGAAATGAAATGAAATATTACAAATATATAATAGTTATAGAATCAATTGGGAATAAGTAATATTTCTTCTCAGCATATGCAATTGATCTGCAGTTGTATTCAGGGGTAATATCCATTGTTTTTCAGAAAAAAATGGGGAAATGTTTCTTATCACATAATCTTATCTAAATGAAATTTTCTTCTTCACAATACTTCTTGTATCTACAACTCTCTTAATCTGTACACAAAAAATTATTAGAAATCAATCAATGAGTGACAAATACTTTACAAGGCTGAAACCACATGATACGAATTTCAAAATCATTTCTCTTCGCATTCTTTCTAGCGACTTAATAACTGCGAGCGGTTTATTCTGAGAGAAAGTCTGCTAACTGAAGAGAGGCTGGGTAAAGAAAAGTTACAGCACAATGAAAGAAATTATCTCATGCTTGATGTTCAAAATTTTCAGTACAAGTATTCCGGGTTGTATGTAAAAAAATTTAACGATTTCAAATGACACTGGAAGAAATAATTGATTAAGACCCTGCAATTATGTAGTTTTTTTATAAATTCATATAAACAAATTTTAAAGAACTCTTTTCTGACACTAAGAGGTAAAAATGAAAATATCACAAAGGTTATAACAGCTTTAACTACTGGTTTGTCTCGCCAACAATGTAATTAGACTAAGAAATTTTTATTTTAATGTAACAATTTCTTTGATTGATTAACATGGGTCTACTGTTTAAGTCATTGGTCCGATATCAACATCAATATTTTTTAAAATTTATAGCTTTTATTGTGCAAATGCAACTAACCTAGCTGATTAAAATTGTATGTTCGTACAATTTTAAAATATAGATCTAAAGGCTTTTACAGCAGGTAAAACAAAAGCCAAGTCAATGAAGTAAATATGGTGGGGCAGAGGCAACTTAAATCTAGAATAAAATGTTTTTCTTCTCTCAAACATATAAGCTGCATACAACAGAGGGAAAAGAGTGTGAAAGTGAGGAGTATTGCAAGCATCTCCGTACAGAGACTCAGGCATGCCGGATCTAGGAGGGCATGGCTTTCATGACCCCCCTCCCCAGGGAAGTTTTCATTTGCTTTCTTATTTGGCAAAGCTGAATTTATATTATTTATGTTCAATTATTATACAATAATATGTATAGTTTATATCTAAAGACATAAATATATACAATTAATACAATACGAATTTTACCAAGTTTAATAAAACACTACGTTTATTATTTTTAACAAAATCTTAGATGGCCCCTTAAAATGGATCGACTTGATAGTCCCTGTTCCCAGGCTGAATATATAGTGACATCAAACCCAACAAGTGTAGAATGATGTGTTTCATGGAGTAGTTCATTTTGCTGTACAGATGTGAGGAAGTATGAGCCACAGGGGGAACCGTGAGAAAAAACGTCACACAACCAGGTTAGGAACACCAAGTTTTTTCAAGGGCCCTTAATTGTAATTAACTAAGTACTGTGGGGCGCTATGTTTTGCTGTGCGTTGAGTATGGAGTATTAAGAAAGCCTTATATCTGATGAGGGAGAAGAGGAATGGAAGTCAATCCAGGCTTCTGAGGTTGCTAATTTCACAGCTGAAAAAAAAAAAAAAATTCAAGCCCAACCCACATTATTCGGAGACCCTTGCCAGATTAGTGAAGGTATGTTTTGTTGTCAAGAGGACACTGGAAGAAAGGGAAAGAAAATTCATTAAGTGTGATTCAGGGATTCTATATTAAGCTATTAACTGTGTCAAATATCAAACATACTCAAGGTCTTTAAGGCTGATTTCAGTAACATTATCAGAAGTAGACACAATGCAGAATGCTGATTTCAAAAAGAGCAGCTAGTTAAATGGAATGGCACAAGCACTGAATCATTTAATAGTACAGCTATCAGCTCACATGATTTTTTGAAGACAAAAGATTCTTATCAATTTTAGGAAAAATACAAAATATGAAACTTTAATTATAAAGGTGTTTATTCATCATACAAGCTTGCACATTGCGTTCCGTGGGCATTCACTCAGAGGCAGATTCTGTTTGCAAAGAGTGGTGAAGTGCAAGAAAATGGGGAGTATGCAGCTTTGCGAGGAGAGGAGTAAGTGCATTGACAGTGGCTGATGTTGGCACTACACTGATGCCTGGGCATCTAGATTGCTTACTTATTTGACTTTCAAATCCTCTAAATCTATTTTGTGAAAAAAGGGGGTGTTACTTCCATAAGAGAGAATTTCTCACAAGATTGACTAATTAAATAAGGCAATTTTCAAGAGTAATGTTTGGCAGCAATTATGTGACATTTTCCCCATTATGAATCAGAAGAAAAGATCCAAACAGCGAACCTGCTCTGATATGTTATGAGTTATAGAGGTTATTACAAGTCTTGATAAAGAGATATAAAGGGCTTACCTTTTTTTACAATGGTCGAATAGTAATAATATTCATTGATTTTGATACGAGCAATATATAAGTACTTCTTGACAGAAATTAGATCGCAGAAAGTAATCATGATTTTTATTATATATGAAGATTTTTTAGCTTTGATAGAAACTTTTATTAAACATAGTTAATGAAAGATGTTTATTCTATATCATGAAACAAAACAATTCATGATTCCATTTTTTGGAGTTCTTAGCATCAATACTAAATTTATGATTACATCGCAGCAAAGCGAAATTACATTACAGCCTTATAAGGCAGTATAATTACTTTGAATCACATCATATATATTGACTAAACGTTTTTAGGTTCATATTTCATATTGTATATATTGACACCAACACTTCAGAACAAAAGGCATAATATTACTTGAACTGTAGTAACAGTCATCATGTTCTCGCTCCTGCCATTATATTTAAGCGCTACAGTTCAAATTGGTTCTTATCATTGGTAGTCTTCCACTCCTAGAATGATTTCATCCCATGCCTTTCTCACTACTAATACTATACTATTTATTAACCTCATTAGGTAATGGGGGGTTAGATCAAGAGTTCAGATTTTGAATTCTGATTATGGTTACCCTGGAATTATCCTAGATATGATTTCGGACAAAATTAAAAAGTAAAGAAAACCATGTTATAACATACCTGTTTTGCAGCATAATCATTTCACTCCAATCTTTTTGGATAAGACAGGACGAGAAACAGGTCTTTGAAAACAAATAAGGATTTTTCCATGCGGAAATCCAATAGAATCTGTTCGGTAACAAAATGTTTAATGTACTCAACATGGTGGGGTCTCATTTGTCCTAAATATTGAATTTCATAAACAGGCACAAGATGCCCTGTAAATTGAGAAGAAGAATATTAATTATTTAATAATTATTTGTTATGATTAGGTGTGTGTATATAAAATGGCATTTATTTATTTATTTATAGCGGACGCGGCCGACAGACTTGTCCTGTCAAAAAGATTTGTAATGTGATTTTTTCCCAATATTTTTATCTGGCAAAAATTCTCCTGAACAGACGTACGCCTGGTGATAGGGTTGTGAATAAGAAATGTAATTAAATAAACATATATAAGCATTTAAAATGGTAGTAATCGGCTTTTATTGTTAATCATGTGAATCATAATTATTAACAAAAATAGTTTATTTTCATTTGTAGTGGCTTTGTGATATACGCATGTTTTTTGTTTGATTACTGGCACATAGGAAAACAGATTATGGTTTTTTACTTCCACCAACCGGAAAGGCAACATACTACTTGACATGTGAGAACAATGGGTTTTTCCAGATTAATACACAACATTAATGATGCTGGGACTTGTTTATGGGTCATAGCAAAAGCAAGCCGAACTGAAAAGTGTAGTCGTTTAAAGGCCAAACGGAACATGTCGGAATCATTGGGGATGCGGCCGGTTATGAGGACGTCTCTCCTTTATACTTTTCCTTTCAGTATAGTTGCTTCTATCACGTTGTTTACTATTTTTTTTTATCGTTAACCGTGTGGCCGTTGCCAAGACGTGGTTGGCTGATATTTCGCAGACATTAATAACTACCTCCAACTTTAATTGAAGATTTTTTGAGGTGCAATCTGGCAAAATCCAGCGAGTTTAAAATTCTGGTGGATGTTCACTAATCATCTTGGTTAGTAGCCCAAATCAACTTGATTATATATCCTCGATTCGCTGTAATTTGTTTTTTTTGAATTTTTAATTTTAATTATTTACTTCTATGTTTTTTGGCAGCCACTATAAGTACGTTCGTAACCCAATCATGGTTTCTGCTAATTTGAGAAACATTGGAACACTTCTGAACAAGTTTCATCTTTTGATCGAGTTACTGGCTGCATTAACTTTTCTCAAAAGTTTTTTGGTCAGTTAACAGGTGCTATAGGAAATTTGCCATTACAATAGCAATGAGTTGTTTAGAGATATTTTCCAGATATGGTCATTTTGACTAACACGCAATTCTTGTTATGAAGTTACTTTGACATGTTTTCACAAATTGGAGGATTTTTTTAGCATGCATTGAGTTATCAGCTGGTGTTTGATCGTGGGAATCATGACAATGTTTGACGAACATCTCCAGCAATAAAACATTGCACCAAAATTGGTTTATGATTGCTTCCGTAAGATATTTTAAGGTTCGTCTAAAGCCTCAAGATTTTTTATGTGCGCATCGTGCATTATCCAACAATTAATTTAGCATTGCAGCAAGACCTTTGCCATTGCAGATTCTTTCGAAATGTTGCGGTCGGAGTTTCATTGCTTTTGCATATTT